GACACTGGACCCAGTCATCATAGCGAAGCGGTTTCGCATTTACCCATTCAGTGAGAAGACAAGTATGATGGTTTGCCTCCGATTCGCGCTCTATGGCTGTAAATTCCCAGGTAGGTCATTCTCTGTCTTCGACTCACTTTCCTCCTTTTTTGTTGACTCCAGACTTGAGGCTGTCACTAGCCGATCTGAAAACCAACATGGTCCTCGGCTTGCTTACATTCATCTTTTACTGTAGCCTGTTTGACTCGAATTCCTTTTCGCAACTTGGTCTTGATTTCAAGGAGGCTTCTGAGAACGGACTCAGTTCGTCCAGGGTAATCAGATTTATCTGCTTCATGTTTCGATGCTACAATAACACATGGCCTCATCGAAAGTTGAAGAAGGATTGCATTGGAGTTATGACTATGAGTTTGTGTGAGAAGTCCCCGATGCACCATTGCGTGATCCCGACGAATTTATGCTGAGCTTTCGTCTTTCCCATGCTGACAGGTGTCGTCAGAGTCTTATCAAACGAAAGTTAACCTACAACAACATGACATAATCTCGTTGAAGTCTTTCTTTGAATGAGGCTGATTTACTAGAACCGCGCGATACAAAACCTACCAATAAACGAGTTATACATTATTGTTTATCTATTGTCTCCGATAAATCTTAGTGGTAGAAAAATATCTACAATTATTTGTGGATACCTGTCCGAAGGTCTCTCATTCAGTATTAATATGCTTGGCTCCCATTTGAAATCGGCCTTGCATCACAGTATCGTGAATTTGAATTTGGCCCTAAACAAACAAGCATAACCTATAAACACACCCTTTCATCAAAAAGTATTTCTTTAAACCTTTTGTTCTCATTGTATATATCTTGACATACGAGACCTCATCTGGGTTGCAGGAAGGTGCATCTGATACCACGCGCACTCACAACCTTTAGAAGAAAACCTTTTACAATCTCCATTGTAACTAACCGAGGCAAACTCCTTATCCCCTTTTAAATTGGAACTGAGAGGTTCACTGTCTTGGAGGATTATTTAAACCATTTTTTAAAAACTCCATTTTCGCAAAAGATTTTCTACTAACCTTGGATACTGAGCCATATTTTCCTCATATGCTTGAGCGGGTGTAGTCTGCAAAACTGAGCCCAGAAGGGTTGGTTTTTAAGACTTCTAAGGGTGTGGATAAGGCTTTGCAGTGATATAAACTGCTTTTCACAGCGCAAGCACCGCATTTTCTTTTCAACTATTCGGATTTTGTTTCCCTGTCACCCATCATCAGACCATATGATTTCTCGATATATATAATGAAATAGTATTTACGTTTATTCATTATTTACTTGAATAAGTTGACTTAATTTGGCCACTTTTGTGCAAAGCATTAAAATAGTACTTCCTACATATTTTGTGTGTTTTGAAATAATCAGTAATTCGTGAATAGTTTTAAATTATACTCATACCGAAAATTAGTAATATTGTCGAATATAGCGGCAAATCTATGTTTTTCCAGTCGAATAACTCACTACAAATGTGATTTGGGAAAGCTGTGGTCCGCCTTGAAAGTCGTATCTTCCTTGTGACCCGCTGGCCCTTGTGGCTATGTTGCCACGATAATCACGACGCGGTATCGAATTCCGTTGGAAGTGTTTACGAGATTTAGGCTATATCCAATCTGCGTCTCAGCCTGGATGAGAAAACCTCTTGGTAGGCAAGACTAAGGGTGATTCAACTGCATCCGAAGGCCTATTCATCTCATCTAAAATCACCTTATGCCTCTTAAAAGGATTTAGATCTTAGTTACGTATCTTCAATTGGCTCTACTCCAAGCATCAATGCGAGAACAGCATCCCTCCTTTCTGGTGAAATATGTCATCTCAAGCCTTTCTAAGGCTGTGTATAGTACGTTAAATGCTGTAATTTTGACCAGTTACCGGCATTACTTGTTGCCAGGTATGTGGATTCACGTGGTTTTTAAACCTTCATTTCAGTTGGAAAATAGTTGCTAGTTTTGGCCTTACTGGAAACCGAAGAAGGATTGTTTAGGAGTAGTGACTGGATTTGTTTGAAGGAGTCTCTAACACACGAAAGTCAGCAAGGATTCATCGGTACCTCTTTGCCTCGCCTTTTGAAAGGAAACGAAAGGCGCAATAATCCTTTTTCTTTTGCAAATTCACTTTTATGCCTCAGTTCTGTCCCATCAGCTAGTCTACAATTCTGAAGGTAACGCCTAGCCTCATTTAGACTTTTCTGTACCACCGGCTTCATAGTCTCCACCTACCTTAAGCTTTGCGTAACTACTGCGATGCGACAGTGCCATCAAACTAATGAGCTCACTTGCGTGTCACATCCACCGGTTAGCCTTTTTGCTGGTGTTGATGTGCTTCTATTCCAAGGCGTTGTGTTTTATGAGCTTACACTTTTGGTGTTGATACACTTAGTTTATGGTCTCCGATGAGTGACAGGGCCGACAGGCAAACAGGGACCTTGGTTTTAGTATGTCGTGCAAATTTCAAGAATTTTCACTCCTATGCTTACATTCTGTCTGGCCACTCGTACACATTGACATGCATACATGCATACTTTATTTGGCCTTTTTTTACTCATGATCTCTGGGCCAATTGATCGTGTTTGCGTCCTATGCCCTGTGGGTGTAGCCATGCCAAAAAAGCTGAAATTCGTCCCCCTAACACCATTAGCATAGACAAAACCAGCGTCATTAGGGTGATCATCATCATCGTTGTAAGCATCAGCACTTTTCACTTCCGTGGCATCCTGAGAGTCAGCATAATCTTGCTAGCCTAGCCTTCTTCGTCCTCGTCTTTTATCTTCATCTTCGACATCGTCATCGCCACGACCAACACTACCAACACTACCACCACAACCACCACAACCACCACAACCACTACAACCACTACTATCAGCACAACCAGCAAGACAGTACCGAACGGGCTGGGTTCCAAATAGCTCTGTTTACCGAGGCCTTCTTTTATCTACTCCTTGTTTGTTCATCAAAACTCGTCAAATGGGTGCAGGTCGTGCTCACTTCACCTCAGCTACCTTTATTGCCTCTCTACTAGGCATCTCGGTGCACTGAGCACACTGAGCACTCTCTTGATTTTGCTGTTCATCAACTGTAAGTGCAGAAGGCGTTCTCCACTCTGCACTTGATGAGCAAACAGTCCAACTCTCTTTCTGAAGTCCTCTGTTTGTTTTGGCCACCAGCGAGGGTTTGAGGCCTGTGGAGCCGATTGGCCGCCAACAGCTGCTCAAAAGGACCATTCTATTGTCTAGCCAGCCTCCGACACAACCACACAAGGGAGGACACTGCGACTGCAGGGTGGTACAGCTACCATTTCGAGTGGTCCCTCGACCAGCTTCGTGTCGGAAGCAGCCTCCGTTGGGGCGGACGCCCAGCATCATGTGTGTGGCTAGAGTGAAATTGTGTTGACCCAGACCCCGGACAGGTGGCTGGCAACAAATCCAAGTGTCCGGCTACTGGGTGGCGAGATCTCCCAATTATAGAACACTTTATTGGCCACCAATCAAGACTTGAGTCATTAAAAGGTTTCTTTTTTAGGCAACACGAGTTGGTGGATATTTCTGGAATTTTAATTTTTGCGCAAAATCTGGACTCAATTCGATTCAAGCTTTCCTAGCACGTAAATTTGAATATGCTTGTACGAATGCTATCCCGTTCTGATGATGTCCATCATATGATGGATGAAAGCTTAATATGTCTTCAGTGGAATCAAATCACTTTATACTTGATCAAAGAGGCCAGATATAGAGTATATATACCACTTTTTATTGATTTGCCGGTGAGTTTTCTTGACTCGTTAGCTTGAATTTGGTTGTGACGATGTTACCTCGCTCTGATG